CCCCAAAACCCCAAAACCCCAAAACCCCATGAATAAAACTTTAATAAAATAGTGATGCGGTGAATATAATACAAATTCCAAAGCTAATTAACTAATGTATACTTAATTTGAGCTGAGTTAACTGATTGCGGTACTTATGTGTACAATCGAGTTAGTCAGAGTCTCAAACCTTTGACTTGTTGAGTAAATCAATGAAGCTCTGTACCACATCCTCTGGTTTATCCTACAAGGATGGAATCAAAGTTACTGCTTCATCATATGTGTCTGGTGTTAAATTCCACATTAGCACTAGTTCTCTATCGCTTATCTCCTTAATCTTGTCCATCTCACTACAAATTTTATCAATCATCAATATTCATAAAAGTTTTATTTATTTTTCAGCATTATCTGATTGTCTTGATGCACTTACCGTCTGATAGTCTTGATCTTATCTTCTTACTCAAAGACATTGAACTTATTTACATAAAGGTCAGTCTTTTTCTGCATTTCCTCTCCAATCTAATTGACATTCTGTATGTTTCCCATCGAAGCAAGTTTCTCCTTTTCCTGTCTCTGCTTTTTCATTAGGAATACTACCTCGGCATTGGAAATCACAAAAGCATCTTCGAAAACTATGAAGATTTGTAAAAAGCAAGTAATGCAATACTGTCGTCAATTTGTTAGGACATGAAGTCATTAGAACCGATGGTCTTGGAATTCATTATTTTAGTTTTATAATTATTTAAGTTAAATTTTAATAAAATATATACTTGATGTTTCATTAATCACTTTGATTAGAGTTGGAAGTCAAGGAAATCACCTCTACTTTCATAGAAAGAATTGAGTAAAATTAAGGTTAAACTCAGGACCAACTAGATTTTCAGGATTATGGTTTGCTCTTCATACTGAGCACTTTACCTCCATCTTAAGATGCTAAATTGTGTAATGCCTCTTTGGCGTCAGTATGGTCATACCTACTTCTCATATAGTTGGCATACTTAGGCAGCTAGATTTGCTATTCCTCATTCCTTACTCTGCTTTTGCCTGATTTCGAAGATTTTTGAGATTCATACTAATTAAAGAACTGCTTCTAAAGATTACTTATGTCCTATTCAAGTTTCTACCTCATCTGCTGCTCTTATCTGAGTTGCTATTCCAACTGGTAATATTTCTCGTCAATATCCTCACCTCTGTAATTAGATTGCTTGTCAAAGTTATTAATAATTTTCAATTCACTTTCAGTAACTCTATCTATCTCTTATTTGTTTTGGTTTTAGCCTGGCTTCGCATTCTGATTACCCACAACAAAAATATCATCATCGTCTATATCTTCCTCCACTTCAACTTTATTAAGCTTGTCTTTGTCATCTAAATAAAGAAGTTCTAAGTCATTTGGATTTGTTATAATATTCATTTTTTCTGTCACTTCCTTAAGCTTATCCTTGTCGAGTTTTCTAATAGCTTCGATCAATTTTCCTCTCACCTTTGAAAGTGAAGTTCTAATCTTACTTGAGTTCATAGATTGTCTGTCTAAATTATTCTTTGAATTAGACTATTACAGATCCTTATAGCTACTCATTAGGTCTCTCTTGCTTTTTTGAGACAATTTCTGGCTTCTTAAGGAGGAAAACTTTGATTTAATATCTTCATCTCCTTGTTTGTACTCATTCTCTGCAAGTTAATTCAAGTTATGCCTCGTGATGTTGGATCTGAATGTTGTCGACTTTTAAGTTGAAATCTCTTAGTCTAAGTTCTCGTTAAATCTGGGTTTGTCACTGAGTCTCTTTACAGACTAGGTACCGCTTCTAGCATTTTTCTCTACAACATTATAAATTTCAGCTCTGGTGTTTCCAATTTGATTGTTTTCCTGAATGCTAAGCACACGCTTAGACTTTTAACTTGAGTGATTATTTTGCTGTTTAATTTTCTAAGCCAACTCCTAAATTTGGCTTCTTCTTGAATCAAGAGACCTTCTAACACTCGCATTCTAGTCAGACTAAATGAGTTATGAAGGCTATTGGTCTCTTATGCTTCTTCCTCCTAACCCCTTCTGATTCAAGGTATCATTAAGACCATGATTAGTGAATACTCTTTTGAATGGAGAGTGAACAATGCTACTGCTACCACCAAAGGCATAGCCACTCATATTCAGTTTGTTCTTTCCACTTCCACCTACCTAATTAAAAGTAGCATTATGAGGAAAAGCTGGTCCGTTCGCAGGTCCCATGATTCTTTAATTCATCTGAAATAGTCGTTAGCCTATATTCGATCTGAATAGCCTTGCATACCCTTAATCATCTTCCTCATTCCCTCTTTGTTCGTTATCTGCTCTAATCATCGCTTCAACTGGATCAATAATATTATCATCGGAATCATAGTTAATTCCCTAATTAATCTATTATAGACTCTTCCATACATTTTGCTTGGCCCCCTATCTGTTATAGTACTATGTCGTTGGATCTTGAATTCTATACTATTAAGTCTTTTCTTTTTGTTCTAAAAACTAAGGTCTGGTAGCATGTGAGTATGAGTTGTTGAATAAGTTGTTCTGAGGGTTATTTGACTCATCCTTGCTCATTGTTCTTCTAGCCAGGAAGTGCTAAAGGGATCGATGTTAAGCAGACATTTCTTGTTGAATTCGCTGTGCCCAAGCCCCATGATCAGCAACGTAGCTCATAATATAAATAAATTTTTATTTTAATTTTTCTTATAGCATTAATACTCATTCTAAATTAGTGATTACTGCTTAAGGGGTTTTGGGGTTTTGGGGTTTTGGGG